GATGGTTATCAAGCGATTTGTTATTATAAATACCTTCTCAACCACTACTACACCTGTAGTACCCCAGTCGGCCAGAAGAGTCCAGGTATTGTGCGAAAGGCCTTGTCGGCACTTGGTGTAGCAGATATAGTGTGGTTGATATATTACTATACACTCTTCTTTACTCAATTGAGTAATTAGTACGGATAAGTTAAAATAAATTCATATTCATGAGGCTAATTAGATTTATGAGGTCTTAAAGTTATTTATTATAGAAGAGGCCTTATTTAATTGATAATCAATTATTTAAAAGTTGTTTCTAAGAAGCTGATTTGAAATACACACATTTTAGACAGTCAAAGGAAATGAAGTGTCATGTCGGTCGTTAGTTGCCTTGACAATTGAATATTCTTACGCCATCTCGAAATGTAAATCGTCACCACAAGAAAGCGTTAAAAAGAATAATTATTATTAATAATGATAAAAATACTGTCCAACCGATCTAATGACAAATTAAAAATACTGATATTGATTTGAAATATATTACATCAAATTCAAAGTGAAAAAATATTAATGATGGTCGGTCTTGGTTTTAATATTTTATTTTTAGGAAAAAGTTTAATTAGGTATAGTTTTAGGCTAAACTTCGACAAAAACGGAATATTTTGGGCGTTCTTAGGTAGACTAGTCTAGTGAGAATTGTATACTAGGATGTAAAGGATTTACATGTAGATTAGGTAGGATATTTTTGTAAGCACACTCAAAATCTTAGTTTATGGCGTATCATCCCCGTATGAACTGAAAAGTTTGGTATCGGTCCTCGGAGGTAGGACGAGAGTATTGCAATAGGGTCAGTGAGCGTGTTTTTCTGTCTGTTTGTGATTCCATCCTTGTATCTCGAAAACTGATAGACCGATGTACACGAAAATTTTACCCAAGATGGAAAGTAAGCACGGGGCAGTCCTCCTCAATTTGGTTCGGATACAAATCCGGATTCTCTTTCATTTCACTGGCTGAGGAGAAGTTACTAGTGTTCTTCATTGTTTCACTGGCTGAGGAGAAGTTACTAGTGTTCTTTATTGTTTCACTGGCTGAGGAGAAGTTACTAGTGTTCTTCGTTGTTTCACTGGCTGAGGAGAAGTTACTAGTGTTCTTTATTGTTTCACTGGCTGAGGAGAAGTTACTAGTGTTCTTCGTTGTTTCACTGGCTGAGGAGAAGTTACTAGTGTTATTCGTTGTTTCACTGGCTGAGGAGAAGTTACTAGTGTTCTTTATTGTTTCACTGGCTGAGGAGAAGTTACTAGTGTTCTTCGTTGTTTCACTGGCTGAGGAGAAGTTACTAGTGTTCTTTATTGTTTCACTGGCTGGGGATGGAAGGGGATTCTGATGGTTAAGTACGATGAAAACTTACTTTTAAGGTTTTTAGAGATTGGGAGACGTCTTTATCACTGTAACAGAATCATATTGGGGATAATGACATAACAAACTCTAACAGCTTTCAAGGCTCCACTGAAGACAGACCACTGTATCGTTCTTTATTCAGTTCATTTTGGAGGGGTTTGAAACTATAATCTACTTGATAGGCATAATTATAAACCTTCTTTTTTATTCTAACTTCAAGTT